ATATTTTAACTATAATTTGTTATAGTATTTGTAATTTATCTACACTTATAGTTGCTTTTGGTTTTTTTAAATAATTTAATCAGAAATTTATTTATCTATTTAAAAATTTAATTATATATATATTGCAATAAAACAGATTACAAAAAAAGCAGCCTGAAGGATTAAATTAACTAGATATAAAAGAAAGTATTACATATGCTCTGTGAAGATATAATATGTAAAAATTTTAATATGCATTTACATCTACACTTCATTACTCTTAACATCCAATTAAACTTAAGATTTTGTAAACACACACTATAGGCTAGCTGCATAACATGTAATAACATGCAGGACTAGTACAATTATTTAAAGAGAGGAACAAAAATTAGGAGATTTCTGATTACTAAAAAGCTATACTATTAACTTACATAATTCAAATATTAAGCAATTAAATTCAATTAATATTAATATATAATTAAATTAAATCATAAATGTTATTTTACAAGAAATTAAATAATTTCTGACTCTGTAATAAGTTTAAATTCTTTCATGTCAGTCTTTTTAGTTTAAAAAAACTAAAAAATACAAAAAAAATCTAATAATCTTAACTCTTTCTGATAAATAAATTCAAATTTAATAACTTTATATCATTTTACAGACAATAACTTTAAAAACACTATATCTAATTAATAAAAAATTAACTAAATATAGATTATTAATACAAATAAAAACTTAAATAAAAGTTAATAACATATCTTAAATTAGTTAATTGATTTATGTTTATTATACCCTCAAACTGGATCAATATAAGTAATAGATCTCAAAAATTTTGTTCATTCTATTCTTTTATATAATTAATAAGACTATACAAATAAATTTATCATCATAATTCATAATTTTATCTGCACTCAGATATAATCAACCAAAAATAATAAGGTGAATTTTCATATATATATAATTTTATTATCATCAAACTATACTCTAAACAGAAAAAACTTAATAATTATAATACCTTCTAAAATAAAAAAAATATAACTCTTCAAAAATTTAAACAGATCTATTTCTTACATATTTTATATGATTGTACTAGTATACACTCTATGATATTTGCATATTACTTTATTTTTAGTATCTAAATCTATAGTAAAATAACAATTTGCTTTAATATTTGTTAACAAATTTCTATTTTTATCAGTTTTTTGCCTTCTTTTCAGTTATTATAGAGAACTACAATCATAATCATAATCAAAAAAAACTTTAAATCTGTAAAACATTTAGTTAACTTTTTTTGGCTATTTTTTTGCTCAAAATAGGTTGTAAATATTATATATATAATTAAATAACAAATGCAATTTTGACAAAATAATATTTCATTATTTTATGAGTATTGCTTTATTGTAATAAAATAAATTAGAGATGTGGCAACCTAGTGAAGTAAATAGGTTGTCAACCTCCAAGTGGCAAGTCTAGAGTTCAAATCTTAGTGATAGCGAAAATTTGCAATTCTTTCTATATTATGGTTAACTGTCTTCTGTGATTAATTGGGATAAGACATCTGTAACCCATATTATACCAGCATGACTAGAAGATCTAAGCATTCGTGCAATGTTGTACGAAGAAACACAAATCAGTACTGGGTGGTGTGAACCCAAGATAAGTTCTTAGGCCATATAAATCATGAGAACCAGATAGAAAGATAGAAGCCCACTTGGAAGACCTGAGTAGAGAGATAATCTAAACTTTTGATGATGCTATTGTAAAGACTAGATCTATGAAATGGAGCTAAAACTTGTGAAACCAGGCAAAAAGCTGACCTTTGAGGAGGGGCTGAATGGAACCAACCAGGCCATCAGAATTTTCAGATTCTGGAGGAAAAGGTTACATGCTAGAAAACATATAAACTAGAGGTGTATGATTATGATCTGCCTTTCTAGGCTATCTGGTTTGGGAGCTTGGTAGAATTTGAATTGAATACCAAAGTAGTAGAGATATGTTGTGAAGTCAGTACTGAGGTTAAGGTGAACTCTATAAGGGCATAGCAGTTAAATGATACATCCTGACTGCCAGTGTTGGTCTCAGTTATAGCGATATCAGGTTAGCTATAAGAATAGAATACAGAAGATTCTGTACAAGGTCAAAGGTTTCCTATATGAGTGAACTACTTTAAAGACTTAGTGATCATAGCATATTTGCACTGGTATCAACTGGGGCAACTTGGTAAGTGTAGATAGGTGAATGGATATAGAAACAAAGTAGTTAAATAGAGAACTTACAAGCAAATTCCAGGTATGACAGCTAGTATAGAACCTTCAGGTGACTACTTAAATTAGACAATGACTAAAGTTGTATGAGTGGCTAGTTGTATACTCTTTTCATGGTTGCTCTCTGTGGTTGTAATGCAATCATTAGCTAAATGTACTATCAATAAAATCCTAGATCACAAGTACTTACCTTAATATTAAAAAAAAAAATAAATAAAATAAATTAATAATAATAATAATGTTTTATAATTTTATGAACATTGTTCTATTGTGTTAAAATTATAAGAATACCTGATCAGATATATCAAAAATAACATTTTATTTATATTATACAAGAGCTGAACCAGTATTAAACTAGTTTTTACTAGTTCTTAAAAAGTTTGGTTTGGATTAAGTCTGAATTAATTTTTTGTAATTCATTTAATATTTCTAATGGACACTATATCATACCAGTTTAGTATATATTTTTTGGATATCAGGTTATAAGAAGTTTCTCTGATTTTAATATAGTTTAAGGATATATAAGTATAAATGTAAAATTTATATATAATCAAAAAAATTAGGTTTATTTAAATTTAGTTAATTCAGTTTGGCAAATTTATTATAACTGCAAATTCAAATTATCTGATTTTATTTAAATTCAGTTGATTTGGTTTTGCGAATTTATTATAACTACAAATCTGAATTATCTAGTTTTATTTTAAATTTAATTTAAAGCCAGATCTGATTTAGATATAAGATTAAAACCAGATTTTATAAATAAAACTGATTTCAATTTTTAGTATAACTAGCAGATTATAAAATAAATATATAATAGATTATTCAGAAAAATGGCCTCACCATTAATATTTAAAAAAAAAAAAAAAAAATTATTCAGAAAAATGCAAATTAACATCAAGTAATACAAATTCAAAATAAGTTTTTGTGATTATATAAATTTATAGAAATTGAAAAACAAAAAGTTTATTTAAAAGACTTGAAAAGAAAGATAGTACAAAATTTTAACAATATTACTGTAAAGACTAAGTTTATGAAACAAATACCAATATAAAAAAACCAGACAAGTAAGAATTTCTAAATATGAAAATATTAACTAGACTACTAAAATTGAACTAAGAAAAGAATATTAGACTAACTTGATATATTAATAAACTGATTATAATTTTATTAAACTATTTGAATTAAAAGTTTAAAAACAATATAAAATATACTAAAATATTTTAAATTGTTATAAAGTAATATTAGAATTTCAAGAAACTTTGTAAAAACATAACAATTTAATAACTAACTTTAACTGCAAGTACTAGTTCAGTTATAGCAATACTAAATTAACTATAAAATAAATATTAGAAAGCTTTAAAAGGTTTATTTTAAGAATAAAATAATTCTAAGATTGAAACAATAATCTAAACATAATTCAGTAAAGTTAATACAGATTGCAGGTTTAAAAGATTTAAAATAAATTATCCAAGTAAAAATATTAAATATGACAATTAATAAGAAACTTTTGAGCAAATTCTTTAAATAAATAATATAAAAAAGTTATATATATAACTAATTGTACATTTTATTTGTAATGATTTTATATAAAACCATATTACCAAAAAAATGTTAATAAAAGTCAAAAGACTCAAAAAGTCATCTTAAAAAATAAAAAAATAAAAAAAATTTACTAGTAAAATTTTGAACAATCACTAATTTGGCTAACACTGTTTACAAAATATGTCTTGAATAATTTCAAAAAAGTTAAACAAACTTGATTATAAAAAATCATCTTTATATATATTTGTTTTTAAAATAATAAAAAAAAAAACTATCTTTATTCATAAAGCAATCAACAAATAGCTTGTTTGATTTGTTAGTTCTAAACTTATAAAGATAACCAAATTTCGCCAAAGTAGCTGTTTGAGGCTGAGCTAATAATTTCCATACGTATAGTAAAAGTATTGCCGATCTGTAATGTATCTGACATTTGTTTACACAGGTTTTTAAAAATTATATTAGCGAATTGAATAGATTAGAAGTACATGCACTTTTATTGAATTAATAATTTATCATTCTTACGCGCTTGATAATTATTGATTTATGGGCAGGGCCGATGAATTTTTTGCGGTGGTTAAGACCAAATTCTGCACGTTAAGATACCCTTTTTTTTTATAATGGTATATTCGTATATTCTGTAGTACATATGAATACATTTTTCAATCCCACATAGTTCCGTAATTCGCCGTTGAACACGCTCGTAATTTACGTTGAGTTATTGTCTACCTTTACGGGATTTTCCGGCTCCAGCATGAATTTATGGTCAAATTCTGTGGTATTCTACGCAATTTTTTTGATTTTTGTGTCTACCAGGCTTGATCACGGGTATTAGAGCGTAAATTTATTTTGTAATAATTTTCAAATATCGGCCCTTTATCTATAATTATTCTCATTTTGGGCCCTTATCTGTAATTCTTTTTAAATTCGGGCCCTTATTTGTAATTTCCCCTAAAAATTACCATTATAAGCTAGTTATTTTGATTCATTTTGACTGTGTGAACTTCCGTAGTTTATAATTATTCTCGGGAATTTTTATTTCGAATCTTCACATATGCGGGGGTGGGATAGGCGAAATTAACGGGTTACGCCGAGCGCATGTACCACGTGACGCGGCATCCCTAATTTGTGGTTGTACAACGTAAACAAGACACAAATATCCCACCAAAGTGTTGAAAGATTTCCCGAGCGAAAGCGCTTATTGTTTTGAATTCACCAATGACCAGGACCTCACCTCGTCGAATCCCCCGTAGACGAGATTCTTCGAGACAAGCTGCAATTACATTTCTTTCTAACATTAGCCTTGGAACTGAAGCAACTTACCCCCCTAGCACTGTACAGGCGTCGAGCCATTCCGTTCCGAGCCCTTTTCAGTCATCAGGCAATCTGCTAAACACTGATAATTTTGGAAAGCCTCCACTTGTAACTGTCACTGATCATGAGGTTATCAACGGAAATGGCAGACCAGACTTGCAAATTAATACGAAAACTGCAATATCTTTCGATATGCTTCCTCATAGGGCAGCAGGAAATTATATTATCTCTTCAAGCCCAAAAACGCCTAATGATGACTTATTTGACCAGAAAACTTCCTCCATAAATACTGTTGATTATTTAGAAAATTTAAATCAACAAAATAAAACTAGAAGAGGTAACAGTCGGCGCGAAGAGACTGCGACAAGCTTCTTGACAAATATAAGCCTCAATTCTAAGCATTCTCACTCTTCAAGTGATAGCTTAACTATTCCAATCAAGGAAAAACAGGTAGTATTAGAGGCTAAAGATGGCTCTCTTATTGAGACAAATATAGAAAATCAGGAGAATCACTGTTTGATTCTTGATGGTTCACCACATGATAGTTATAATTTGAGACGACGTAGAAGTTCAGGTTGGTAGTTATTATTTAGAGAGTAGGCTATGAACAATTTTTAATATTAGTTGTTGAATATACCGATTCTCTTATGTGATCCAAAAAAAATTTTTTTGAATATCAAAACATGTATTATGTGATCAATTGAGTTGTCTTTATTTAATATTGATAACCATGGAATAGCTTCCACATTAAAATCAGAATCGAGCTCATCTTCTGCCAATTCTATCACTTCACCTACTTCACCCGGCGAATTAATTTCATCTCGCCGTAAAATTTACCGTTGTCGTTCATCTACAAAGCCAAATAATAATGCAACCGTTGGCGTCAGTCGTAAGCAATCTAACAGTTTATTTACAGCTTCTTCAGTAAGTTTTGATATTCTTTTTTTTTTTTGCTTGCAAATGTTTAATAACTAACTACTAACTTTATAATTCTTGAATCAAGGCGCCTTTGGGTATTCTTGCGATGCTAGGATATAATGATAAGAAGTTAAAACAAAAACATTTGCATGATAATTCGTGCGTAAGAAATATCTATCATTAACAAGCAAACAAAATTATGTTAATTAAATAATCTGAAATTTTATTATTATTATAAATTACAATTAGTAAACCAAATACAGATGTGGAAACCACTAAACGACCAAAGGTATAGACAAGAGTATAGCTTATTAATGTATTTTTGGATTACCACCAATTGTTCCAGATTTATGTGTGCCAATTTCATATGAATGAGGTGCGTCGTGGGACGCTCCAAAAATACGCCGATTGGATAGTTTATTTTTGGGGGTTTATTAACAATTACATTTTTAATCTTAGGCGGAATCTTTTGCTCATCTGCTAACTCCTAGTAGTGCATTAGAGTAAGTAATATAACTGTTCCCTGCAATAACATCCCTCGCGTTACAAAAGTGAGGTGTGCTAATATTGTAATTATATAAGAAATGGGCAGTATTAATTATTGATCATTTTTTAACAAAAATCAATATGTTTCACTTATTGCTCATGAAATAATATAGACCTGTATTGGAAGTTGTTGAATACGATCCAACGTATTTAGATAATCCCGCATTAAAAACTGAAAAAACACACAATGATACGCAGGTGAAAATAAGTAACCATCGTTCGGTTTTGAGTTTGTCTGGGATTATAGTGCGTACACATTCATTTCTTTAAAGAGTTTATTTGAATAAAAATATAATATGTACTTGCTCAATTCTCATTTTTAAGGGTCTAATGAGTCATGGTACTCGGCCGTCTGATTTGAAACGCGAGTCAAATGCTCTTTTTCGTCAAACTCATCCGAATGTTGATCCAAGTTTAACACTAAGTCAAATTCGCAAAGTAAAAACGGAATTGTTAGCTGCTGCTCGACACGAGGTTTGCATTTTAATCGTAACACTTCCGGCGCATATAATTATATATTTATTGACTCAATTATTGTAGGACTTGGACTTGGAGCTTTCCACAGTTGCAAAGGCTTACGCATATTTTGAAAAATTAATATTGAAAGTAAGTCTGAGTAAATCTTTAATGCCTATATTTATAAATTGCCTACTGATTATATCTTTTACAGAAAGTAGTAAAGAAATTCAACCGGAAATTGATTGGTGGTATGCCATGAACATTAATCAGCTTTGATTTGAATTATTCTATATGTATAATTAAATGATATTTGTTATGTTTTTTTTTTGTAGCAATTTGTTTATTACTTGCTAGTAAAGTAAATGAGCCAATGGGAATGTCATATTCACCTTTATTAGAGGTAAGTGAAGCTTCATGCAATCAATTTTTACAAATTTATTTGTCATTAATATTGATTTTTGCGCTTGCTTACGGAATATAGTCTTTGCATAAACACTTGGACGTGACAACGAAAGAAATCACTGAGCAAGAGTTTGCGGTTTTTGCTGCATTGGACTTTGAACTTTATTTGCCTACTTCTGAATTTATGCCTCATTTTGAAAGAATTTTCACAACTTTGGGCAAGTGTCATTCAAATTTATCTAATTCTATTTACGAATTCATGTTATATTAAATTGATTTAATTTTCTAGACTGTGATAAAAATATGCAAGATTACTTTGGATCAAATCCATTCTATGAATTTAAAACTGTTATAATATCTAAAACTGAAAGCAGTCCAATTGATATTAAATAGAAATAAATATTGCTAAGCATTCACTTTGTACATTGTTGATATGCATCACTAGCTTAAATTACAGCTTTGTTCTTATTTCCAATAAAGGCATTGATCTTTATGTTTCTTAAATTTGTATTTTTAATTCATTTTTGTATTTTAGTAATTATATACTTTACATGCTTGTCGTTCACTAACTATTTTTATTACTATGGATTAGCAGATTATGTCTAGTTAGCATGAACTGATGATTGAAATAATATATTCATTTGCATAAGCAAATATTCTCTTTGAATACTCTTAGGTGAATGTGTTCCCTTGTGATTGCATTTATGAAGTGATTTGAATTTGAATGTTGGTTGAGGTTGGACAAAGACATGTGCATTTAGATGGATTCTTCGTAATGAAAAGTTGTAGTTTACAGATCACTTTGACTAATGGTTCAAGATCATTTTCAAAGCTATGTAATTGGTAAGTTAATGGTGTCGAAAGCTTTTGTCAGTGATTCTTTTGATAAGCATAAATTTGTGTCCAATTTAATTTTGTCAGATTTTCTGCAATTTGTGATTAATTGTTTTGAAAGTTTAAAGTGAGTATAGTTGTGCTGATGTTTCTATGAATTTATATTTTTTGCCAAAGTAGATATGCAATAATCTTTAGATTTTGGTGATTTTTATTAGAGGTTGTTTTTGTTTTGGTCTATACCGTTTTAAATGTTTATATATTGGTTCAACCTAGAATGGTAATTACTCTATTGGTGTAGTTTTGAAGATTAGTGAGAATGTTAATATTAAGGTTCCTCAAAATCAAATCAAATATTAGATCAATTTGAATTTGATCAAATCAAATATTTGATCAAATATTTGAGAATTTGATTTGGTTTGAAAAAATTTTTTTAGATTTTAAAATATTGATCGATAAAGATAAACTTAATTTACAAAAGTTTTTACTATATTAATCGATCTTGAGCTCTTAAGTAAAAGTGTTCTTTTAAACAAAATACCCATAGTTTCATAGAACGAAAAAGTCAATTGTCTTAATAAAATTTAGAGTAAATAGCTTATAATATTAAACGTTCAATTATAAAATTTTAAATTAAATTAAATATTCAAATCAAATTTGATAATATCGTATTTTCGCGAGGGTGATTTAATAAATATCTCTCAAAATATATGTTCATCGGTTTCAAAATAACACCATGCGCGTACCTAAATAACATCCGTATAAGAGTACCTTTCAATCCGGGGTTTGTTTTTTGAATTGATAATGATAAAACTTTATTGTTGTTTGTATCGCTAAAAAAGGAAATAACGATAAAAAACGCGTAAAATTTACCTCACGCGAGATATCTGTGTGAAATAAACCATTCAATTAAGATACTGTGTCAAACCTCTAAGCGTACATTCTTGGAACTGAAAATAACTTTGCCTTTAGCAAGAAAAATATACACATAATTAGGTCAAACTTATCTAAGCAACGTACCCTTAGAACCAAAGATAAGTATGCACTTAGAGAGTATATGCTATTTCCCACTTTGTGGGCAATAACTGATTTATTCTCCGGCCCATATTACACTTCTACACTATTTTTTAAAATCAAAGTTAGTATTCTAAAAAATTTCTTTATCTAGCAAAATTTCATCAGGAATTCTACCGGCTTAAAGAATTCGTAATAATCATTTAAAGAAGTAAAAAAAAATATTATAATTAAAAAGAAATATGAATATATCGGCGGTAAAGAAATCCAATCTTCCCAGTAACGCACTTCATTAGACATGTATATATATATAATTGACGTACCCTAACCTGGGGAGATCAGTTCTAGTATTTAAAAGTACAAATAAGAATTGGGAAAATAAATTCTATATTTATTTGGTTAAATTTTACGTACGTACAATGTATGCATTTACGAAGCATCTGGGTATCAGAAACTTATGCATATATAGAGAGTGGAGGGCATTTAGTATTAAGTTTTGATCTTTTATCATATAATTAGACCAGTGTTGGCAGCAATAGATGAATAGGACAATAGAATAGAGCAATAGAATTTAGAATAGAATAAAATTTTTGTCAATAGAACAAATAATTGCCAATAAGATTATAATTGAATATTAATATAGCAATCAATAAATAGAACAATAGAATAGAGTAATAGATATTAGAATAGAATATAATTTTTATCAATAGAACAAGAAATTGACAACACTGAATTAGAAAATTTACGTATACATTGCGGCGAATTTATGAAATACCCCAAAATTTGATCATTAATAAATAATGATTTTTGACTGAAATAATCATTATCCCCCGAGAGTCTTTATACAGTCAAACCTCCATAAATGCATATCGTTGGGACCAAACTTTTGAGAACTTGCACTTAGAGAACAATAATAAAAAAGGCATTTATGGAAGTTTAGTATATATTTGGCCCAAAAAATTAATCTGCATTTAAGGAGGTTATGCACTTAGAGGGGATCCATTTAGGGGGTTTGACTGTAAAAATTTATATGTCTAATAAGATACGTCAAAGGTGGAGAAGATGGGTTAGCATTTACTTAGGGTTGGATATTAGACACATATATAGTAAAATTGCTTGAGGAATTTTTTTTTTAGGCCAAAAAGATGATTTATTATGCACATTTGCAAGGAATATGCGATTTTTGACTTGCTTTTGACAAAGCGGTTCTACCACAAAGTCACGACATCCAAAATCTCGACAGGCCATAATACTGACACCACTTGATGTGACAATTAAAATTTTAACTCTGACAATAATTGTTAATGTGATTACTAATCTTTAAATATTGTCTCGTCAGGATTATGGTTCGAAATCTTGGATGTCGGAAATTGTGTTGCACCTTATCTTGTGACTTTTTGTGGATGCCCTAGTTGATGAAATTGGTTTTTTTCAATATGAAAAATTAATTTAAATTATGTCAAAAATTAATTAAAATTAGAGATATTAACTACTTGCATAAAACTGGCTCAGCCATAGCTTTGTAGTTAAGCTATTTAAAGCCAGGCTAAACGGCTTGAAATATCAATATTGCATCATTTAAATATCATAAAGTTCTAGCTTACAGCAGAAACAGTGCTCGATCCAAAATGAATCCCTCTTGCCTATAATTAATCACAAATTCAATTGTGATGAATATAATCCCTTATCAGTTTTAATATATATGTAACATTAATGGTTCTTGCTGTTGTTCTAACTTTAAACCATGACTTAAACTATAGTTTAAGTTATGATTAAAAACTATGACTTATAAAATTTTGATTTAATTAGAAAAACAATCTTATATTGCTTAAACAATATATTTAGATATTCTAAATTTTGTGTTAACTAAATGTTTAACAAAATAATCAGTATTGCACTAATTTAATAACTATCTATTTAAAATTACAAAGTTATATTTTTTTGCAAATTGTATCTATAGTAAGATTATTAACAATTTTATTTTAAGAATGTGATAACTTAGTAAAGTGGTAGATTGTAAGTTCAAAACTCACTAACAGTAAAAATTTAAATAATTATTTATATAATCCTTTGTATTATGACAATAGCATTCTATTGATCAGTTAGAATAAAATATTTGTAACTATGTTTGCACTAGTATGATTGACAGATCATGAGTTATATATTTAATCTTGGTTATATAGAATGATGTAAACTGATACTGAACAGTATAAACCTAAGATAAGTTCTTGTAATTATATAAATCTGTAGAATTGAAAAAACTAAAGCTTACTTAAAAAGAATTTAACTAAAAATATAATATAAATCTTTTAATAGTATTATTATAAAGATTAGTTCTAAAAATGAATATTAATATAAAAAAATCAAACAAACAAGAACCTCTAAATAAGAGGTACTACTAACCAAACTGTTAAGTTTAAATTAAAAGAAAAGAATATTAGCTCAGGCTTAATATATCAGAAACAAATTATATTTTTTCTAAATTATCTATATTGAAAGTCTAAAAACAAAGCAGAAGTATACTAAAGTACTAAGAATATGCTGCAAAGTAAATATTAGGGTCTGAATAAACTTTATAAGAACAAGCTTTTGTTAATAATTTACAGAATAAATAGATAGTTAATAAAAGAATCTCTTGAGTCTTATTGACAAATATCATACTTTAAAATATGTAATAATTAAATATCAGTTAAAAAAATATATTATACTACTTAAACAATATACTAGTTAAGTATATATAGAAAGTTTATAATAATTAAATAATTAATAAAATGAATAATCAAAAGATTTAAATAAATAATCTTTTAATAGATTATAAATATAACATTATATATAAAATTCTAGAGCAAACTAATTAAATAGACAACTAAAAGTTGAATATATAATTAGTTATACTTTTATTATTGTAAAAATAGGTATAATTCTAACTTTAATATATGTTAATAAAATAATCATTATAAAATAAGATCTTTGAATATAAAAAAAATTTTATTTTTATTTTTTTTAACTTTAACAATCTTGCTATTACACTTTATTAGGATATTATATTCTTATATTAAAATATTTTTAAATTTAATATATTGATCTAATATTTTACAGTTATTTCTATAAGTATTTATAAATAATTTGTCTGTATTAGTTACTTAATTTTTTAAGAAAAAAAGAATATAAAAGTATATCATACTATTATTTTATAATAGGATATCACTAATCTAATAACTTATTTTTATAAAAAATAAAAAAATAAAAAAAAACTTTTATAAAAAAAAATAAAATAAAAAATAAAAGAAAAAAAAAGCAAAACTTGTATTTTATAACTTTTATATAAATTAAATAAATAAATAAAAAATATATATAAATCTATAAAACTGAGAAGCTAAAACCTATTTAGAAAGATCCAAGTAAAGAGGTAGCACAGATCTTTAATAGTACTATTGTAAAGACTAGATCTAGAAAATAAATACTGATGTGAAAGGCATTGGATGGGCAAAAACCTTAGGTAAGAGGTACTATCAACCAGGCTGTCAGAAGTTTCAAATTAAAGA